GAATTTAAGAAAATTTTATTGAAAAATAAAATTGTCTGAAAAACAAAATGTATCTATTGCAAAACACATGAATGTACCTCTAAATTTAATAAAATTTTAATTTTCAATAAAAAGTTTCTATTGTAAAACGCATAAATGTACCTCTGTGAAATAACGACAGGCACAAAGTAAGCTTGCTTGTGAATATAAAATGTTAAAAATTTCAAGAAATCCTTAAAAAATTGATTCTTCGAATCAGAATGGCCCCTAAAACGGTAATCGAGATTCCCCGGGTCCTCTGAAAGGACCACCGAGCGTATCGCGGATATCCGAGCAAACATTTAATTCGCGATTACATTATTTTCGAGGGGACGAGGGTAGCGAGACCAAGGGTGGACCCTGTCAGCACCAGTTTCGTCCAGATACGCGTACGAGCGCCGGGTAACAACGGGGTACCGTTCCAACCCCTCGATAATAGAGATTTCACGCCGCGGGGCCCGTAGCCTCGGTTCTCACAGTAGGGGTCACGTATTCGACCGATCAATTATTGTCCAGTGGAACCATTGGCCAGCGAATGTCGACAGTGGGTCAGTAGATTTCCAAGCGTGGTAGTCGCGTGCCCCTAAGTATCTGTTTATAGTCCTTGGGGATCAATTTGTTTGCTAAATTATTTATTGGTCAAATACGGCGCGTTTCGGCGAGGCCGCGGCGCCTTCCGCGCCGCGGATCTGTTTGATCTGTGGTTTGGGAAAGGTAAACTCCAGGAATCCTGTACTTCATTGTTCTCCTCTTCTGGTTTCCTTTTTTTATTACTCAGGTAAAAGTTGAGAGAACGATTGGAACTTTGGCAGAATTATTGTTCGTAACAGTAGAAGGACGCTGTAACAATTTCAGATTATTAGTTCAATTATTTCTTTGTGAGAATAGTAAATATGAAGCTATTTGTGGTGAAAGCTTTTTCACTCTGGTATTTTTTATTTTATAATTCGGGTGGAAATCGATGGAACGATCGAACGATGATGGAATTTGAAAGTTGCCAGAGTTGTTACTTATTAGAAGCCGTACAAATTTCCTTTTAATTATCCTTTTAATGACCAAGGAAGCTTCTGTTAAAATTTCTTATCAATCCGTTAAGTAGCTTTTGAAATTCTTGTACAAACAAATATATACAAACAAACGTTTCTTTATATAATATTAATGTAAGTAACACGTGCACACTAGCAAGCGTAGCAAAACGTACAATGTATTTCTTCCTTCTAACAAACGACAAAATTGAAACTGGAATTATATGTATTCTTCAATCGCACTGTTTTAAAAAAGATATGATAGGATGGTAGGTTTACAAGGCACGAGAATTAATCTGTACAGGTCCTATGAACACCTATGTTCAAGCAAAATGTAGCATTTGAGTCTGAATTGGCGAGCAGCGGCGAAAAATCGGCGTTAGAATCGTTTTAGGCGAGCCACGAGTCGCGAGATGGCCGAGGGATGAAAATGAAATATGCGGAGCGATGCAATTGACGTTCACCGCCGCAAACTGTGTGCAACGACGCGACACTGAATTGCGGCCAATCGACGGTCTGACGTTGAAAGGAACCACCGACGGCGCCCAGGGGTCACGGGGAATGAACGACACGTGGGGGAAGATAAATGATAAAGCAAAGCTAAAGAAAAGCTGAGGAAATACACCCACTCTTTACGGATTACAATTTCCTTGAGGAAAGATGAACCTTAGAAAAATAACGAGCTAGTGAGTTT